GTTCCTGAGTCTGCCCCCACAACGGAGCAGCGTCCGCGACGGTGAGTGTGAAAGACGGTGGTCAGACCCGGAAAAGATCTCTCCGCCCAGGGACGCTGCGGCTGGCTTCCAGAAGGCGAGTGCGAAGGTGGCGGGTTCGCTGGCCCAATTCATCACCCCGTGAGCTGTGGTTATCGCCCCAAGGCCGCTGTGGGACGGCTCCCTCTCCCCTTGAACCACCCGAGTCCACGCCCGGGCCACGTGGGGCGGGACGCCACACTCCCCGCCCCTCTGCACGGGGCAGAGCCCCCAGACCCGCCGGGGAGAGGGCAGGCAAGGGCTCCGCAGGGAGGTCAGCGACTCCGCGGGGCGGCCCTCGCCCGCCAGCCGCTCGGCCCAGCGGGTCCGAGGAGGCACCAACGCCCCTCGTCCGGCAGGGGTGGTCCCGGTGCAGTCACGCGTCCGGCGGGCGCCGCGGCAGAGGGCCCGGCCGCCTTTGGACGTGGAAATGCCACGAGTGAGGATTGCGAGGTTTCTGAGGTGTCCGGGGTCAGCAGAAGAAGGCGCTCAGGTCACTGTCCTCCCGGTGCTCGGGAACCACCTGGTCTGAAGCTGCCGCCTCCGCGTCGACGTAGCCAGGCTCCAGGGCGGCCTCGAACCAGGGGTGCAACAGGATCTCGGGGGCCGTGAGCCGCTCGGAGGGCTCGCGCCGCAGGAGGCTGCGGATGAGGCACCTGGCCTTGGGGGACACGTGCTCGGGGATGCAGAACTGTCCGCGCCGGATCTTGGAGAATAGGGCGCTGGGGTCCGAGTCGTGGAAGGGGTACCGTCCGACCAGGAGGGTGTAGAGCATCACCCCCAGGCTCCACACGTCCGCAGCCTTCCCGGAGTAGGTGCCGGTGGTGTTGAGGATCTCGGGGCTCACGTAGGCCGGGCAGCCGTGCTTGTCCGACAATGCGTCGTCTTCCCCCTTGATGATGTGCGTGTCTTCGAGGCTTTCGAGTCGGAGCTGGGACCTACGGGAGACAGGAACCAGATCGCCATGACTTTCAGGCCGGCAAAGGCGCAGGGGTGCGGCTCGCCCCTCCCTCGGAGACACCGCCTGCCACCATCACGCCGTTTGCAAACCAGCACAAACTGCAACCAACGCAATGATGCAAAGCCCCGAGTAGTACTCATGATGCAAGGGCTGATGCCCTAAGAGGGGTTACGCAACCCACAACGTCCACACTGCAGGAGTGGGAGCCTGTTGGCCAAGGCTGATGCTTCCTACAAAAGCCATAGGGCAGAGCAGGACATCCCCCTCCTCGGGGCGGGCCTGCACGGCCACCAAGCCCGCTCTCTCTCGCATCACACCGTTGACGGCCCGGGCCACTCGGAACTGTGCTCTGCAGTCTGGAACTCGGATCTCAAAGTCGCTGTCACTATGCACAGCTTGTCAGTGGCCGCCCACACGGACACGGACACACAGGGGAACTCTGTCCACCCGGGCCAGGCCACGATGGGAAAGTTGCAAGGAATGTTAATTACATTTATTGGGGCGTTTAATTGCAAAGCCTGGGCGGCGAGGGTGGCGGAGCAAACAAAAGCAGCTGGCGGATTCGAGGGGTGTGGGGCTTCTGGAACTCCCACCTAGGTGCACCCCACCCCCTGGGTGGCACACCAACACAGAGCGCCCTCTTCCTTGGGGGGGTCTCCACGCAGGCCACAGCTGAGGCCCGCACAGCCCTTAGCCAGAGGCTGCTTTTCCAGCTGCAGGCGTTTCCTCAGTCACACCTGGCCCTCAAAGCCCAGAGCCACGGGGGAACCCCGGACCCCCGGCGGCAGCAACCTGTCTCTGCCCACTTCCCTGAATCCGCCCTGTTTCAGTAAGTCACTTGGGAAGTTCAGCGCAAACATCTGGGCCAATTCCTTTTCCTCTCAAAGGTCCGGTATTTTCTCCCCCTCCCTGCCTTCCTGCTCCCTGGAGTGTGGTATACATGTGCTAACTTCGGTGTGTCCTCAGGGTGACCTCCCGTCGTTACGTAAAATACCCATCGGTTCTGTAAACGGAAAATATGACTCAACCCACACTGTCTGCCCCATTGGCTGCTGGAGCACTGAAGCCCTGCACCTGTGCAGGGGACACCAGCAGCGTCAGCCTGGCCATGCTTAACCCTCGGGGTGCCGAGGCCCGTCCCGTGACGTCAGCCCGTGCCACGTGGACTGCCAAGGCCAGAAAGGAGGCGTGCCAGGCGGGTTTCAGAAAGCGCATCACCCTGTCAGAGGAGCACGTTCCAGGAATTGAAACTTCTTCGTTGCAAGCTTTGCCAATCAGTGTGTGCCCTTCGTTATTGCAAGGTCAGACACAAAGTCATGCCATATGGCAGCACCACCTGGCCTTTCCCGTGGGCTCGGGCTCCGGCTCCCAGGCTAAAGGTGACAACGCACGGGTCTCCCGGCAGAAGGACCCGCGCCGTGGCCGCGTCCCTGCCCTCTGTCTTTCCTCAAGGGACGGGCCCACCTCTTACAACCAGGTGTGGCCTCTCCACCTCGTGGCTTCCGGAATCCTCCTGCCCGAAACCTCCACTCGGAATCTCAATGCCTCATTATTCTCTTGCGAGGCGCTCTTGTTCTTGATGAGGTAAGCCACGGTCTATATTTAGCAATCGGTTCCAGCCAACTTCCATTTATTATTCAGCGTGGCTATTTTCTGAAGGTGGATCTGACCAAGGTGCCTAAAAAGTCACCAGAGAGCGTGACGCGGGCTCAGAGGACCCAGCCTGGGCTGGAGTGCAGCGCGGCGTGGAGGCGGGGGAGCCTTCTGCAGAGCTGCCAGTGCCACTCGCTCTGCGACGCTCTCTGGGTACAGACCCACCGCCCGCCACGAGCCAGGGTGTGCGCCCTTCCTCTGGGGCTCGACCCTGTGAAGGGCAGGCGGACCCCGTCCTCGGAGGACTGCTTTGCGGCGACG